GGGGGGGGTCTCGGGAGGGAGTGGTCGGGGACAAGGAGCGGGGGGGTTGATGGGTTGCGGGTTCTGAGGGGGGCAGTTGGGGGCAGGACGTGGGTTGGGGTCGGATGGGGGTGGGAGACGGGCACATGGGGCTTGTACTCACCACGCGGTTCCCTACCGGGTCTTTGGCGGCACTTCAGCGGCGTGTGTGTGTCTCTCTCTCTCTCTCTCTCTCTACTCGCTCTGGGTGAAGGACCCGCCGCCGAAAACCCAGAGCGAGTGAAGGCCCCCTCCCCGCTGCCGAAGTGCCACCAGGGAACCCGTTATTAGGATTTTGGGAGCTCATCACTGAATAGAGATCTGGTATATGCCAGAATGACTGTTACTGTTCAGGGCATACTGACATCCACCTATGTTTTAGCTTTTTCTGCACATTTTTCTAGCTACTTATTTGATCTTAAACATACTGTTCCTGGTGGTGTCCCTGGAAAAATGGAGGACTGGAATGGGAATGTTCTTAACCACTAAATGAAGGGGCAGGAGGTTGCGTCCTTAACAAAGATCATTCCTTCTAACTCTTTCTTTTTAAGTGTGTGTGTGTGAAACTCCTTTATAACTCAGTATTATACAGTCTGATTAAAAGTACTTTACCTCTTAGTTGCTCTGGTTTCACTTCATTGGTATTTTTGATCTCCCATAGAATCTTTTTGGCAAAACAGGTAGGCAGCACCTGAGTTTCTAGTATTTAAAAAAAAAAAAAAAAACACACTTTCAGGCCTGTTTGATACATAACAAAGAAGCAAAACTGCGCACAAGCTGAATTATTTTTCTTAGCATGTGTATCTTGGGGTATGCTAATTTTCCTCAGAAGTAAACTCTGTGTGTGTGTGTGTGTGTGTGGTGGTCATACCACAGTCACTATTGTAGTACTTGAGTGCCATCAACATGACCAACACAATTTCTAGTCCATGGTCTGACTTAAAAAAATTACCGAGAGAGATACAGAATGTAAGTAATGGACAACTGAAGTTGAAGGATACTCTTAAAGAGTTTCTCAATTAATTTACTTTTCAAATAGGAGGCTAGATAGTGGCCAGTGGTTTGGTTGAGTCAAACATATTTACTTAAAAAGAAAAAAATAACAGTAACCAGACTTGTTTTAGGGTAGGAGATGCTAACAATCTTTTTAGTCAAGAGCATCTCGCATCTCTACTATCTCTTCTCATCCAGTGAGAGGATGTTTTAGTGTCAGAGGATGGCTTGAATTTCCTTCAGTGCTTCTAGGACCTCTTGTGTCTGGGCCAGATTTTGAGAGGGAGCAGTGTCAGGTGATCTTCTCAGTATTGACCAAACTGATCCAGAGTCCCATAATGCTTTATGGCTAGACCAAAGATGAAGTGGAAAACTAATGCTTGCGAAGCTATAGTTTATATTTTTATATTTATATAATGCTGATGCTGCAGATTTTCCATAAAAGGAATGAAATTGCAATAAGGACTGTGAAATTGGCTCTTGCAAACAGATTTATTAACCAGAAATGTTAATTACTTTTTCCTCTAACTACACTTTTGACTGGATAAGGTATGGTGTGCAACTAAGGGCTAGTCTACACTATTACTTCATTGATCCAGCTGCACCATTGCAGTTGCGCCGCTGTAGCGCATCTGATAAAGACATGCTATGCCGACTAGAGAGCGCTCTCCCTCAGCATAATTACTCTACTTCACTTCAACGAGAGGCAGAAGCTATGTCAGCAGGAGAATATCTCCTGTCTACTTAGCGCTGATGTGGCCAGCGCTTAGATCAATGTAACCTGCATTGCTCAGGGGGGTGGCTTTTTCTTACCCATGAGTGACGTAAGTTACATTAACTTAAGCAGTGGTGTAGACTAGCTCTAAGATAAAGTAGTTAGTAGTAAACAAGTAGGGTATATCGTATATTCTCAGAATGCTTTGTCTTTATAAATTGTGAAACTATGAACTATTCCCCAAAATGGTTTCTACTCGTGCTAAGCTTTATTGTGGAAATTCATTTGTAGTTAAACTGTTGCAATACCTATTCTTTGTATTTGTAGAATCTGTCAGGAAAAACAAGGTGTATGTTCTGCTGAGACTTGCAAAATTTGCAGTCTACTAGGTATGGATTATTTGTGCTGGATCTGGTTTGTACAGACTCCTTTATGTCTTATAAAATGCATGGTGCTAGATAAGAGAAGAAATGTAAGGTCTGTGATGATAAAGTGGAATTTATGGAGTTTTCTATCAATCATAACCAAGGCTGGTATAAATATAGGTGGGCTTGAAAGCATATTTTGAAGCAGACCTACGGTGCGATGTGTAACGCTGTGAGACTGCTTCCTGGAGAGAGGAATGTATGATTTCTTTTCGTGTTGTTCTGTCTTGCCTTTTGAATAATAAACTGATTTGAGCCTCTTATTGAACTGTAGAAAGCCTGTTCCTTGCAGTGAATGGTTACTTTGTCCTGGAGTTGAATGGTGGCGATCCATATGGATAAAGCAATTTACAATCCCTACTTTGATGGGAAGAAGTAGGATCTCTTGGCTACTGTAGTCGCAGCATAGGCTTGTTGGAGTTCCTTCTGCTGAGGTCTTGTGTGCACAGTGGAGTTCTACAGTGCAAGTGTTGTGGTGCCTTGATCTACTTCTGGTGCATTTAAAAGGCTGATCTGCTCTACCTTACGATAGCAGCTTTATTGTTTATAGCCAGAGAGGGTTTTAACATTGATGTACCTCAGTCTTTGAATGGGTTATAAATGAACAGAAGAGACTGTTTACATTATGATATGCTGAAAGTGTTTTCTGCTAAATAGGAGAAAAAAATTAAGTACAGACAAAACTTAAAGTTGATCTATGAATGACTGCTCAGACCATTTTAGACATAATTGATTGTCAACACCTCTGGCCTGTAGAAACAGCAAAGCTTTGTGTGGCTTAAAAAATTCTTAGGTTCAAGGACATTTTGAGACATAAGTACAGAATAATGCACAATGGCATGATTGCAGTATTGTAATTCATTTTATTTCTGTTAACTTCAAATATTTTTATTGAAATGCATGCCGCTGAATTGCTATGTTCCTAGGGATTGGGGGGGGGGGGGGGGACTTTAATTGTGGAAAACTTTGAACGTTTAAATTTCTTATTTTAAGTTTTTTTTGCAGAAAGCAACGTCAACTGCGTGGCTGAGTTCTATATAATCAGTGATTGAAAGCATCTACCCAAAATAGTATTTCAGAGTATCAAATGTGGCCTTTCATATTAGCTTTCAGACTAATCATTAACTCTGTGTAAATATCTAAGCGACGAGAGAGCTATATATACTACAGTATGTTGAACTTCAATATGTAGTTCTACTATAATCTGAGATTGAGGCAAATTTAAAAAAAAACCAAACGTCTGAAGTGCTTACTCTCTCTATCATTTTGTTCATGTACTCCAGCTATTGAATACAGAATGCTTTTCTGATTGGGATCTTATGATTTTTGCCTTTATAAAAAGTCAAAGCATTGACTGGCAGTGATTTGTAGCTGGTATGCTGCCAAAATACAGTAGCACCTTAAAATGAAAGTTACCAGCACTACTTTATTAATGCTTTTAACATTGACATGGAGAGTCAACAGCTCATTGTGTCAGTATCAATTTAATGTACAGGGGGCCTGCTCTGTGAATGACAGTTATATTGATAGTGAAGTATTAGAACCTCATTCTTTAAGATACTTTTAATTTAAATCTACCAATTGGTCACAAGTAGGCTGGACAAGCCAGTTGTTGATCAGTCGAATAATGTCAGTTGATTGCCTATTTGACCACAGCCTACTTTTTTTTTTTTTTTTTTTTTTTTTTTGATGCATCTGTTAGCAAGTCTACTTAAATGTCTTGATCATTCATTTTACTGCATGCTAATGCGACCTGTTGGGAAAAATTTGAACTAATTGAAAGTTGAGCATCTTGGTTGGCTGGAATCTTCTAGAACAGGGGTTGGCAACCTTTCAGAAGTGGTGTGCCGAGTCTTCATTTATTCACTCGAATTTAAGGTTTTGTGTGCCAGTC